CCTCGCCTACCGGCTGGTCCAAACGATATTGTGTACTGAAGGATGCCGCTTTGTATTTCTATGATGACGCCAATGCCGAGAAAGCCTTCGGTGTTGCTTGTCTCCATGGTTTCAGAGTTTACGGTAGCGCACCTAATTCCGGCGGCAGGAAGCACGCCTTTGAGCTGCAACCACCGGATCCCACGCAAAGGAGTTACACCTTCGCCACGGAGTCCGAGATGGATAAGAAACGGTAGCATAATTTATTTATATTCTTTTCTCCTACATTGTATATGCTTTATACACGCATACACACACACAAGTATATCTATTCTCTCATTGTTCATATTTCATATTCATATTTCATTTCCTCTTGTCTTCCGTTTCTTACAGCTGGTTAGCGGCGTTAGAATATTCAATCGATCGATGGATAAAAATAGGTTGATGCGACTAATAGAACGGCTCAGAAAGCGAAGACGACGAAACAACACAGCGAATGAAAAACCAACCTTCGCGGGAACCCTAGCCTCTTTTCCCGTTTTCGGTTCCTATACGTGAATCCTCACGATCGTAACCCGATCAAAGGTGATCCAAGATCGTTTGTTCGAACTCTATCGCGGCATTAACATAAGTTTTCTCGACTATCGTTCGTAATTATCGTAGAAAGAAAAAAGAAGACACTTTGTCAGTTTTAGAGACTTTTCGACAAAAGATTACGATGATGTACGCATAAACGTTTTGGATATTTGTCTTATCAACAAATTGTCAAAGACACTCGTAGTTTCGCGTCAGCGTAGATCGCGATCTAGGAAATTAATTAAAAAAAGAATAAAAAGAAAAAAAATAAAAAAATAAGAAAGAAAGGCAGAAAGAGAGACAGACAACTTTGAATCATTCACATCGATTGTTTCATTCGTGAGATAGAAAAATGGAATACAAAAAAAAAGTTCATACACGTACGTGTAATTAGGTGATTACAATATAAAAAAAAGTAAATAAATAAAAATAAAAAGAAGAAAAAAGAAACAGCGCAAATAATTAGTTAAAGTGGAAAAAAATCGATTATCCGATTATAAAATAGGAAGGCGTATCTATATATACACACGTATAAAAAACATTGCGAACGAATATTTTGTCCATGAGAAAGTATGCGCTCGCGAGCGTGGCTGGATAATGCGTGTTAAAATATATGCGTGGAATTGCCATTTAAATTAATACCGCTGTTCTTACCACCGATATTTGTAATTACCGATTTTAAGAATCGTGCGCACGAGACCGTAAGTATGAATGTTTCGTGTGTGTATGATGTATATTTGTGTTCATGTGTGTATGAGGATGAGAGTCGTGTAAAAAAAAAGAGAAAGAGGGAAAGAAAGAGGGAGAGAGAGAAAGAGTGCAAAATAAGTGTGAATTATAAATTTCGCGCGCACGTACTCGCATTTACTCGGTAAGATTAACAGAAAAAAAATGATAAAAGAAACAATAGAAGGAAAAGAAAAGGAAAAGAGACGAAACGTCACTATCTCGGAACAGCCATAAATTTAATTGCGCCTTTAATGCGCTCGAGCGCACATAGGACACGAGAAGAAGAAGAAGAAGAAGGAGAAGGAAGATAAGAAGGAGGAAGAGAAGGTGGACGAGAATGAAAGAAGAAGAGAGAAGAAATAGCGAAGGATGAGGCGAACGAACGAACGCACGATACGAACGCGTATCGTTTCTCTTCCGTGCTCGGTGGACCGATCGAGAGGACGGAAGAAAAAAAAGACACGATCCAGGATGACGAAGATAATAATAATAATAATGATGATGATGATGATGATGATGATGATGATGATGATGATGATGATGATGATGATGATGATGATGATGATGATGATGATGAATCGTACGAAATGTTTGAGGGAATTTCAAATGACCGTTTTCAATCTCGGGATAATAAAATAGAAAGAGTTTAATACAGTTGTAGAGGGAAGTACGATCACTGGCCCTCCTCTTCCTATTTTCTCTTATTTTTGTTTTCTTTTTTTTATTTCTCTTTTTCAACATTTGATCATAAATCGTAAATTTGATCGATAAAATAGGGTGGGATCTTTTGGAAAAAAACAGGAAAAGAAAAAATAAAGAAGAAAAAGAAAATGTTTCTTTGAAAAAATCTTTAGAAAGTAATCGTTCGTGAGGAGACTGTACGAGAACTCGGTACGTACACGTGTTATTAGAGTGACCGCCGAGGCAGCCTAATTATGCAAAACCACATTCGCGTGTTCGGCCAGTGGCGAACGTTGTAAAACGAGCAAAGTATGTGTATGACTTGGAAAAGGCGTACACACGGCAGCATAAGAACGACGACGTAGAGGTGGACAAAATTTGAGAGACCGCCTGCCATTGAGACGAAATCGACCGCGAACGAACGTACAGGGAAGTAATAATGTTCGGTGGGTGATTTCTCCTTCAATATATCCATTCATTTTTCTTCTTATGAAAAATCAACGAAAGTAAAATTTATTAATAGAAAAGTGACTCTAGACGAGTATAGTTTTAACAAACGGAGTCTTTATAATCGTTCGTAGAAACCTTCCGTGCATATAGATCCCCATAAACCGATAAGAACCAGTTTTAGATTTGAAATTATCGGCCGGAATTGCTAAGCCACGTAACTACATTCCGTGAATTTTTTCTTTCCTTTTCTATAAAGGTTCACCTAAGTCGACATATTTTAGATAACAATCTACCTTTCAAGTTAGTTCCTAACTCAATCAAAGATAGTATTACAAAGACATATAAGTAAAATAGTGAAACAAAGAATATAGGGTACCATTAACTCCTATATTCCATTGTCTCAAACACAAAAAAGGATCTAAACATTCATTTTGGACAATGAAAAAGAAAACCGAGAACAAGAATCGACTCCACGAGTTCTCGATAATTTTGTAAGAAGAATTGAGGGCCCCAGATAGAGTCGGTCCGTGGTTGGTATCCGTTTGATAGCAGATAGCAGGCCGAACGACGCTGGTATGTTCTCATTACGCGTCGTGCAGGTATGCGGTGGCCGGTTCGTGGGTCCCGTGCACGTAGTAACACCGTCTTGGTCCATCTCTCTCTCTCTCTCCCTCTTTCTCTCTCTCTCTCTCTCTTTCATTTTCTCATATTCTCTTCTCCTTCCTCTTAACTTTCACGGAGCTTGGCATCCCTTCCAATCGGATCCCGCCTTTATGTCCTTCTCTTTGGCTCCCTGAGCGGAATAAAGCGACGATTCCAACGAGTCACCGTGCGGCAAATCGACGCACCGCACAAGAAAGTGCTTCGAGTCACACAAATTTAAGGACAGGTCTTTTTAGAGTCAGTTTGATCGAAACGTAGTAGAAGTTCCTTCTTTTACATTTTCGAAACTAACTTTTCGCTGTTTATCTTAGCCCATTCGAACTCGTTGAAATCTTTGTATCTTCTCTTCTCTTCTCTTCTCTTCTCTTCTCTTCTCTTCTCTCTCTCTCTCTCTCTCTCTCTCTCTCTCTCCAACTTTGAACGGTGATCTTCTCGGTGACGTTGCTCGCTGGACGCTGGCGATCGTAGTCCTCGAGATACGTTATGGTAGTAGTAACACTCCGATGTGGTGGAATGGATCGACCATGTGAAAGAGAGAGAGAGAAAAAGAGAGAAGAGGGAACTAGTTCACCGAAGAAAACGACGCCAGAGGCAGTTGCATGCTGTACCAATCGTTCTCTTCTTCTTCTTCGTAACTTCGTATAGCGAATATCGAGAATACTCGGATATCTTTTAAAATTTTTCTTATGTTGCTTTTTCAAAATTTTCATGAGGAAAAGTCAAAAAGAAGCGAGAAAGACATGTGTCTTTTCTCGTTTTTAAAAAGAAGCAACTCGCAAAAGTATTATCGTAAAGCTTCCGAAACGTTGAGCAACACGATAACTCAATCCTCAGAGAGAAAGAGAGAGAATGTAACCGAGTATGTACTCAGGCCCTTCTTATCTCGAGGATGCACACTGAAAACACAGGCCATGCGATTGATTCGTTCGTCCTACCAGATACCTGCCACGTTTAAGTTTCGATGCGGTCAACCGTGAGAGGAGAGTCTCAGGCCATTGGTTTCGCTCGTTTCAGAAAAAGACCGAGAAACCACGGAGAGTCATAAAGCAATAAACGGCGCGTTTCCTCGATTACGAGAATCTTATCGTCTTTATTACCGATATAGAATGTAATAACTCGAAAGTCGATTGCTTAAAATATGAAGAAACGAAACAAGGAAAAGATAAAGAAATAAAGAAATCGATTTTCGAGTTCATCTTAAAAAAAAAAAAGTCGAATCTCCAAGAACTTAGTTCGCAGCTGATCGCGATGATTTGCATGTTGACTCGTAATTCCAAATGGAAACTAAGAAGAACTAGGAGCGTCAGTCCAAGAAGGTAGAATGAATCGGTTCTCAGGTGTAAAACCGGCTGGGCGTCGGCGGCTGCTGCCAGAAGAAAGAGACGGAAAGGGAAAAAAAGAAGTAGCGAAGGGGCAGGGAGCAAGGAGGGTGATAAGGTAAGAGAGAGGGAGAGAAGGCGACTCGATCTCTCCAAGTGCCTCTGGCTTATGGCGGGGTGCACCGACCGCACCCCCTCGTCCTCATCCCACCAATGATCTCCTTCCTCAGTGCTGTACACTATTACATCTTTACATCAAACATTTGCTTACTTTTATCGAATTTTTTCCATCGAATCTTTAAGAATAAGAATTTCGAAATCAAAGAAAAATCTTTTTGATCTGAATATAAGTAAATGATGATGAAAACAATCGATAATCTTGGCTAAAAGTTAACAAAGAATTTCCAATCTTTAATCTTCAACGTTAAGGGTACTCCAAATACTAAATACAAACCTGAGCCTCACACACATACCACCGTCCTACCCAAGTCTCTTACGTTCAACCTGCGCGTCGCAGGCTCTGGTAGGTACGATAACCGTGAGCTCCCCTCCCAGTCCTCAATCTCTCACTCTGTCTCTTTCTCTATTTCTGAGCGGCACGAGAAAAGGAAGGGAGCCGGCGAGGTCCGGTCGCGCAGCATCCAGCAGCAGCGCTACCAGCGGCAGCCGAACGGAAAGACTCCCAGGCGAGTTGCGCCGTTCCGACGCCGTGCTTCCCTTTTACCTGTGTGTTGCTTTTGCGTGTTCGTGTTTCTTCTTGGCTGCGTGCGCTCTCTCTGTGCGCCGTGTAAGCCGATCGCGTCCGAGAGCGTCCGACACGCAGTTAAACCGCGCGCGCTACGCCGTCACCACAGTGAGATACGTGTACTCAAGAGACAGGAGTGAAAGAAAGAGATAGATAGATAGCATACACACACACATATATATATATATATATATATATGTATGTATAACATCGCGTTATCTATATATCGGATACGCGAGAGTCTCGCACACTTCTTCGCAAATTATCCGCGATGTCACGACCGATAGAATACCTTTTGCGGTCTTCCCTGTCGTTAGCAAATACGCTATGCTAGTCGTTGGTACTACTTCCTGAGCCAAACGTGCATGTGCGTGCGTGTGCGTGCGCGCGCGCGCCATCGACCGAGAAGGAGCGCGTGCACGGAATGCCTTGAATCTCTCGAGATCAAAGTGTCGACAAAAAGAGAGAGAAAGAGAGAGAGAGAGAGAGAAATAGTGTGCGTTGTGGCAGTTCATTGTAAACAAGAGAGAACGAAAAGACGAATGATCGTCTTTCCTCTTTGGAGTAATTGTGAAATTCTTTTTAATTGCCGTGAAATGCGAATATTGAATTTTGAAGATTAAGAAGCTTTCGGGAAACTTTCCTTTGATCTTCCTTCCGGTAAGCATGCTTGAATATTTTTGATTAATCGATGAAAGAAGGCTTAGGAAGGCGTCTATTACTTTTCAAGTCCTACGGGCATTCACGATTCCAACATGGCCGCTGGGACCAGCCGTGACCGCTGGGCCCCCGCGGAAGCCATGTTAGCAGGTGTGCTCGGCTCGAGATAACCAGTTCACGTTCGAGAAACGCGTGCTGGCCCGTGATATCGACGATCGCCGTTCGAGCTTGCTTAAAAGAGAATATTTATTCAAGACGCAGCATCGATATTTCGACCTCGTGTAGTCTTCCTAATGCGTTTCTTTCTGAATATCCAGAATCCTGATCGTCTAGATAATTATCTATTATGACTGTACCGAATCAACGACCGTGATCTTTTCACGATATTTTTTTAGAAATCTTCGATATGCCGACGGATCTAGTCGTGACGCCGGCTTCGGCCACGGCTTCTGAAGAATCCAGCAGAGGTCGTGACCTACCACTTGGTCCGTCTTCGCGATCTGCTCCATCATCTTCAGGAACATCTTCTTCAGGATCTTCTGGACAGTCGTCCTCTAGAGGATTCGATCCTTCCGGTGCCCTCGCGGCTTATCATCAACATCGACATGGCTTAGTAACTGGTCTAGGTCATCCTCATCATCGGGAATCATCAGCTTTTGTACCCGTCGTACCTTCCAGATTGCATCTCGCTCCTTATCCCGGCGAGATGCATCCTCATCTTCCCGGATTACCACCTTCCTCGTCTACCAGCGGAAATTCGGATCATGAAGTTGGTCCCGAACAATCAGTGGCTAGGAAAGGATCGTCCAGTTACGAAATTATGGCCATGATGGCCGATAAAAGAAAAGAATTGGCAGCGAGAGCTTTACTTCTTCCACCGCCACCTCTCTTGGAACCACCACCTGGATACCCAGTTTTTGCAGGTCCTTTCCCTGGTAGTTCTGCTCTCTATCCTCCGGGTGGACCATTGGCTCATCAGCATCTCGATCGAAGATTATTGAGAGCTCCCGGCAGAGCATCTAGGCCGAAAAAGCAATTTATATGTAAATTTTGTAACCGTCAGTTCACGAAATCCTATAATCTTCTCATTCACGAAAGGACACATACGGATGAGAGACCGTACTCGTGCGATATTTGCGGTAAGGCCTTCAGACGACAGGATCATCTTCGAGATCACAGGTAGATTAATCGATTTTAATCTAATGTATGTAAAATAATCAATTTAATAAAAACAATTTGATATTACGAAGTATCGCACATTTCAGGTATATCCATAGCAAAGAGAAACCGTTCAAATGTGGCGAGTGTGGCAAAGGTTTCTGTCAAAGTCGCACTTTGGCTGTGCATAAGATTCTTCATATGGAGGAATCGCCACATAAGTGTCCGGTATGCGCGAGAAGTTTCAATCAACGCAGTAACCTAAAGACTCATCTTTTGACACATACGGATCACAAGCCATACGAATGTACGTCCTGCGGAAAAGTTTTCCGTAGGAATTGTGACCTCAGGAGGCATGCACTGACTCATGCGGTTGGTGACGTTCCTCCAGAGGCTTTGGAAGAGGCACTTAGGGACGATGATAGTCCAGAAGAAGATTGTGGTCCGGAATCAGGTTCATCCATACCCTCGTCTTCTTCGACGAATTCGTCGCTAGCAAGCACGTCGGCGAGTACTTCTGGTTATCAAACTCAAGCCCAATCGATACCAGGCCCACCACCACCACCACCTCCAGCATCAACATCAGCACCTGTATCTGCACCAACATCAGCACCGACTCCATCGACAGCATCAGCACCAACTCCGGTACCAGCTCCTCCGCTTCGACAGAGGCCTCAATTACAGATCAGAAGAGATCTCTTGCCTACCGTAAAACCTTCCACGATAACCAGCAGTAGTTCAACTCATTCCAATACGCAAAATCCTCCAGCACCTTTGCCACCACCTCCTCCTCTGATACTCTCGTCGTATCGTCGAAGACTCGGTTCACCAGGTCCATCGAGAGTTTTCTTAGAACTTCAGGAACGAGAACGTGAAAGAGAACGGGAAATGAAACAAAACAGAGAAAGAGATCGTGAAAGAGAACGCGAAGAAGAAATTGAAAGGCCACCAAGAGCACCCACTCCACAGCCACCTCCACCACCCAGGCCTGCACCTACCAGGCAAGGATTCACGATCGCCGATATCATGCGTCGATAGAAAATTATTGTATTATACCAATTCTATCGAACGTTCTCCAACGAAAAGAATAATTCGAAAGTAATTGAAGATCAAACAATTATCTACATCCTACGTCTTCCGTACTTTACTTATATTTTCCAACTGTACATATACGACGTGTTCCTTTGAGAACACATACAACTTTAACGACCATTATTATTACGTGCCAGCGAAGTTATATCTCTAGTCGCGGTGCCCATACGATTTGGTTTTAATCAGCATCATCTAAAAAGATTTAAAAAAGTATTGCCGAAGCGTGCCTTTTTACGTTAGTCAAACATTTAAAAGTTAAAAAAAGATATATTGATATGGTTTTTGAAAATACACAGTCTTTTAACAAGTAAATTGGACGATAAGAAGTGAAACTATTATCGGAATAACGAAAATGTGCCTTTTGTACGAGTGTACTACTTATCATTCATTTTACATTAATCGACTAAATATTTGGGATATAGTACTGATCGTCCTGTAGAAGATACATGAAGAATCGAATAGTAAATAGTGAGAAGGAATAAAATGGAGAAAAAGAAAAAAGAAGAAGAAAGAAATAAAAAGAAAAGACAATAAGCCGAAGTGCTTTGTCTCTCGTAAATTTCGGAGAAGGGGTAATGCAAATTTCGTGGTCACGGTAGAACCTGTGCCACTGTTGCCACGATGGTAGCAGGTGCAATACGGTGTCGAAACTACTTGAATCCCACTTTTAGTACTACCTGCTCCTGCTCGCATCTAAAAATATTCCGACCCTCGACGAATGCTGCCTTCTTTTTTCCCTTTGCTCCTGAGAGAGGAACCATTAAGGGTCCTTTTGTGTTCGACCACAAAAAGGACCTTTATGTCTGTGTTATGCGACCGACCAAAACTATATTTTCTTCTCAGTAAATCCTGTAAAAATTCTAGGATGAGAGAGAAAGAAAATTATTTTTCTTCTTTTTCTTTTTTTTTCTTTTTTTTTCTTTATTCTTTTCTTCTGGATAAGTGTATTCGTGTTTACCGAAACTTCGAACATTAAGGATGATAAATCTTGAATAAAAATTATTATATTCGAGAGATACAAGAAAGACACAGATGTCTTCCATTTTAAAGAAAATCATTTTATTCGGAATAATTAAGACGACAGATCTGTTAAAAATAGATCGAAAATTATTACAGCGTTGTACTATTATTGATAATGGACAACACAGTATATAGGAATTTAATTCCGCGTTTGTGTTATCTCCCAAAAGAATGGGAATTAAAATCAGGATTTTTGTTTAAATACTGAGAGAGAGTGTATAGTGATATCTACGATGTACAATGTACTACGTACAATGACGGCCGTCCAAGCGATAATTTACAAAAGCACAAAGACGAGCTAAATCTCCTGTTATTTTATACGTTTTCTGTTTATGCTCAACATAAATATCTATATTTTTAGATTTATACGTGCGTTAAGTAAGTTTGTAAATTATATATTAAGACAGATAAAAAAATAAAAGATACTACACAAATACAAACATAAGGCAACATTGAAAAGAGCAACAAGTTGCTAAGTTTCTCTTACCTATACCTGCAAAATCATTCAAAAGACATCTAACAAAACATCTATAAATTTACATAATAATGTGCAAATCGTAAATTATTTTAAAAAAATTAAACTACGATATCATTATTTCCGTGAATAGACTGTGTAGATATATGCTTTACATAGTACCACTAAAGAATAATGTCTTTGTATCGTAAAACTAGTATAATAATGTTCGTATTAATTTTATGTATTAATAATAATGAATAAGAGTACTTGCGAGAAACTACTGTACCTACAATTAACCATCTAGTATTTCTTCATTCGATAAAGAAATTATATTCCAAAGTGAAGATACTCTCTTCTTTCTTTCTCTCTCTTTCTCTCTCTCTCTCTCTTTTTCTTTCTCTCTCTCTTGATTATATCAATAAATATTATTATTTTTTCGATATAATCCTCAAGCTAACTAATCATTATTTAATAATAATTTATAAGAAAAAAAAACATTAAAATAAACAATTGAATGAAATCGTACAAAATATATTACATAATTTAAATTTAACATCAGATGGCGTTGACATTACGTTTTCAATTTACTATCAGATTCTTTAGTTAACTTGTCGGTAATATAGGTCGCATCATGTAAATGTCGAAAAAAGAAAAAAATTGTGGACTTACAAAAATATATATTTTTTAAAATTATATATATATATATTATTCGTATTGATGAAACGCAAACAAGTTGTTTCATCTTCCTAAATTAATATAAAATAGTTAACGTAATCAAAAAGACTATCATGTCATATAGGTTATGTTTACTTTTACGTGTTATACATCGATTTGTAATCTTGTGACTTATGTACAGCTCTGTATTATAATTTATTTATTATAGTTACTGTTATTTAAACAATTTCATTTTTATTTAAAGATTTATAAGAAACATTTATTAAATTTCTTTAATCTTCTAACAGTAAGAAATAACACAAAATTATGGAAACATTTCTTACCGCATCAAAAACAGCTCTAGTAAGTAACAACAGCTTTTACAATATTATCTTTTATTATTTAAAGAAATATTTACGAAAGATAAATACAAATATGTCATTTTTTATTTATTTTACGAAACGATCATTATATTAATCGATGCAATATAAAAACTATTTGTTCTTAAGTCGTTGCTAACCTCTGGTGGCGTAAGTAGGAAATAATTTTCAATTGATGCTCAATTTGATTGAATTCGAAAGTACATTTGAATTATATCGAAATCTTTTTTAAAAGGAATATAAATTATGGTGTGTAATAGAAAACGTAATAATAAAATATGATTTCAATATATGATAATATATTTTTTATATATTATACAAATATCATAATTTGAATTTATTATTCAAATTATCATAATTATCTAATATTGATTTATTATCTCGTTTAGAAGAAATTATCTGAATACTATACGATCCGTATTGTCCTTGGAAATCAAACTTGCGACTTAGATTCAGCAGTTTGCGCTTTGTCTCAAGGATTTTGTGAATATTTGAATGAAAATAAAAAAAATGAAAAAGAAGGAAGTGTTGCAGTTATACCAATTTTAAATGTTATCAAGAAAGAGTTTCGAATTAAAACTGAAGTCATTTATTATTTCCGCCAGCATGGAATTTCAGAAGAACTTTTGACATTTAGGTAAGAGAGTTCGCGTTCATTTTCCCTACTTTACAGAGAGTCTATTTATTTTATAATCTACGCCATAAAGTCATGACAAATACTTGTTTCGCGCAAATACAATTCTTTTTACGTACGTACATACATATAGAACTAAGAGAGTTAATTTCGCGTCATGAATAGTAAAGAAATAAGCTCACGATCGGTTTAATCCAATGAAGAAGCTTATATAGTTCATGATAATAGTTAATTTGTATCTCTCTCTCTCTCTCTCTCTCTCTCTCATACAAGCAGATAGTTACTTTCGTACATGTTACTTTAATGAAAATGGACCTCGACGTCATGAAACAAACGATCCGAACTGATTTAAAGTGAGGAATAAATGACGTACAATTTGACCCATTGTTACAAATACTATCTCGAATTTGACAAAAGTTATTAATCTTCATTCTTTTCCTCTTTTAGATCGATGTAGGAAGTTTGTTTTACCAAAGTATATCTGATCGATTCGATTTATGTCCATAGGGATCAGATAGATTTGAACATTCTAACGGAAAGTAGGGAAAATAAAGTAGAAGTTGTACTCGTGGATCATCATGTCCTGGCGAACGAAGATAGGACGTTGGTCAACTCAGTCGTCGAGATTATCGATCACCGTTCTCAGGACGTATCCTGGCCCTGGCATGGGAAAACGATTCACTTAGAGGCGGTCGGCAGCTGCGCCACTCTCGTCGCGCGCAACCTTCTCATCAAACATCCCGAAGCCGTCGACGCGTGGCTGGCAAACTTCTTACGAGGCAAGTTTTTCCTCCTTCCATCGTATACCTTCAGAGCCTAGCCTCCCTTTACCTTCCTACATTTCTCCTCCTACTTCCTCTACTCGTCCATTTTCCTTGAAAATCGACGATCCTGAGGGACTCGAAAGTCTTCCTGGTGGATCGAACGAAAAATTATTGATGCTTCTATCGAACTCTTTCTTCTTCTTTTTCTTCTGCCCCTGCCTTCAATTTTTCTTTTCTTTTCTTTTCTTTTTCCTTTTCTTCTTTGTATATTTTTTAAAACATTGAATTATATCATCCTTTGGAAGGGAAAGAACGTTGAACAAGTGGACGCGAACCGAAAGGAATACAGAATTTCACAAGTTACATATTTTATAAAGCCATTAGGGAAAACCTGCTTTCCCCCGTTTTCGCGCTAATGCCGAAGGATTAAACATGCGGCCTCGCCTCGTTCGAGTACAACGAACGCCACTCTGAAATACTACTACTACTACTACTACTACTACTACTACTACTACTACTACTACTACTACTACTACTACTATTATTATTACTACTACTATTACTACTACTACTATTATTAATACTACTACTACTACTACTACTACTATTACTACTACTACTACTACTACTACTACTACTACTACTACTACTACTACTACTACTATAGTAGTAACGGGTAGTTAGAAAATCACTTTAAAAATTAGCTAAAAATTTCTATGTGATATGTTTTGATTAGGTCCTATATTATTGGATACTTGCAACTTCTCAAAAGAAGCAAATCGTACCGCAGCTCTCGATCGCGAAATTATGGAAACTCTCGAGAGAATCTCGTCCCTTGGTTCCGATAGAAACCAAGTCTATCAGGGAGTACTTGCAGCAAAAACGGACATCAGTGAATTAACACCCGATGATCTCATACTCAAAGATTTGAAGTTTGAAAGTGGTGTACCATTTATTGGTCTTCCGATATTAATCAAGGTAAGTGTAAAAATGGAGAAAACGAAATATTTTATATTCAAAATGAAAAAAATAATAGATAACTGTGTTAGGCCGTTATTGACAAATAGTTGATACGTCAGTCGAACTTAAAATTACTTTCGAAGGAATAAGCAAAATATTTGAATAGGATCGAAACACTCCTCGTCTTTAAACCCCATCCCTATTCAGGATAAGAAAGTTTGATTTACATCGTTTAGTTTGGAAGTTTGGAATGGGGTTCGTTAAGATCGGCACTCGCGAACAAGCCCGATGCGTAATCCATCGAGAGGGTGCGAGCGAAATCGATGTCACCCCTCTTATTCTCAACGAAACTCTCTTGCCCGTTGAATGCCAATGGAGATGAACGAATTCCAGATTTTCCACGCTGATGTACGAAATACTTTGCCTATTCTCAGGATTTCCTCACCTTGGAGGGTACTCTACGAGCTGTCGAGAAGTTCACGGAAAGCAAAAAGTGTATGCTTGCTGTCCTTATGGGAATGGACTTGAAAAACGACCACGTGATCAGGGACATCGCGGTCTTTTCGTTATTGACCAATGGTCTGGAAAATAAAGTAAGTAGTATCGTTCTCTCTTTTTGTAGGTATTTCTTCTTCTTCCCAATTTCTTTTTTCTCTCTCTTTCCCTCCCTCCCTTCCACCCTCTCTCTCTCTCTCTCTGTTCTATTCTTCTCTTTTTCTTCCTCGACGTGCTCCGTCGAACTTCGTTTTCCATTTCCATCCATTTCCTTTTGATTTTTCGCATCGGCCTAATCCAATCTACCTCTTCTATGTACCGTCTTCAAACGGCCAACTAAACCCGTTACTTCCTTTTTGGATTTACGGATGCCCGAATATCAGTTATCCGAGAATACGAACGATTTCGATGTAAATAGTTTTCCCTTTTCCGAATATTCGGATTTGGATTTTCCAAGCTACGTACAGAAAATCAAGGATTCTAGTATCAAATATCTCAAAATTCTAGAGGATGCTTGAAAAAAGAACATCTTTTCAAAAAAAATATTCATCAAATTACTGCATTAGCTTCTATTACGTATTTCTTTTTTTTTATTTACTTTTCTTTTGCACACAAAATCACTTTTTAAAGTACAGTTTTTTCTTACGATCATTTAGATAATCAACGCGTTGCTCGGATCTACTCAACCTCAGTTAGAACTCACGTTGGAAAAACGGATCAAAGAAGAAAAGTACAATGTATATCTTTATATACAAGGAAACATTTGCGCGTCACGGAAGCAAATATTACCGATCATAAGGGAAACATTGTCAAAAGAGCGGGCTTGTTAATGGAAGGAAATGTAGATATTGTGGTTGAGATAAGTTGAATATCTAACTTGAATATTTATCACGCATTCATCTGTAATTGTAGCCGTCATAGCACGCTCGAAGAAAAAAGAAGTGACTAATTACTGGCGTAAAAGGGTCCACCTGCGTTTCACCCTCCGCATCCCTTTCTATTTATCTTTCCCTCGTTTTTCCCCTCTTTCCGCTTTTTCACCTTTGTTTCTTGCTCTTTCTCTTTCTCTTTCTCTTTTCTCTGTCTCTCTTTCTCTTTCTCTCTTTTTCACCCTCTTTCTCCCTCTTTCTCTCTTTCTCTCTCTCTTCCTCCTCCCCTCTCTCTCACTCCAAGTTCAATCGATCGTCCTGACATAAACGTCCATTATTTGATCGGTGGTTTTAACCGAGCGGCGAACGTGGAACGATAAACGTTAACCACACTGTCTACGCCATTTCCGTAGTTCTTTTGATCATCTTCGTATCATAGAATTATGTTTCTATCATTCATATCGTGTAACCTTTGAAATGTTAACAACGGTTTGTGAAAATAAAAATAAAATACTGACATAGATTAACGACAAATTTTTACGAGTCATTACCATAGAAACCAGTCAGAGAGTCGAGTCGTTTCCTTGATAATGGAAGTGGCAAAGAAGAAAGAGGAAGAGAAAGAGAGAGAAGTTGAGAAAAGACTCGAAATACCTTGACCGAGGAAATCCGCACGCGTTTCTCATGCAAACGACACAAGCGATCCACCCGGGTAAATAAGCGAGCGCACCCCCATCTTTCTTTGGCTCTTATCCCCACCTTACGGCGTCTTCTAACTTGCTTCTCCGACTACATCCGGAAACTCTGACAGGTGTCTACTTTCGAAACGATTCTTGCACGACCGGTTAACTTTCTACCAGACCATCCCCTCCTCACCCCAAGTTCAGAATAAAATTCATTTTGCAAAGACGCTTACGCCATTTTGCCACTCCCAGACTTCTCGTCTGTCGTGGAGTACCAAACAGAAGATAGAAGCTAAGAGATGGGGAAGTGCGTCGGACGAGTTTTCAAGAGTTTCGTGTACTTCCAACGTGGAAACTTTCCTAAGATACTTCAGTTCTTTGGTATTAGAAATGATTTCAACTTATTTTCATTTCATTTTTTTTTATTTTTTTCTTTCTCTGTCTCTTGATAATCTCATAGTGAAAAACAAAAGAGTAAATATTTGAGAAACATTGAAGTATAGGAAAGAATCGAAATGATTCAACATAAAGATCGTTATAGTCGTCAGAAGGGTAAGAAGATGTCGAAGAGTACGACCTCGAACGTACGCGAGGTAAGTAGAAATGATTGGCCGCGTAGGCGGCCTCGGCCTCGGCCTCGTTTAGGTGGAGAACGAGGAAGAGGCGATGCTTGGCTAACAGAGAAGAGGGGTGCAGTAGGATTTTGCGCAGTGAGTTACCCCGGCTACGATCGGACCTCTCTTATCCCCCGCCGTGAGCCACCAACGAACTCAGGTGGGGGATGATGTTGCCGCGGATGCTGGCTCCTCGTCGTAGACGAACGAATCTCGCGTCAGTGCGGATCAGAAGCGGACACTCGGGATCGTAGTATTTCTCGACACTTTCCAGCACGTTCAAAGTTACTTTAAGATCTTGAGTCTCTTCTTCTAAGTGAGATTTTAATCAACAATGCAGTGGAAGAAGTAGAAGAGAAGAAGAAAATAGAATTTTTGTGGAAGGAGAAAAATCATCATCGAGAAAAAAAGGAAGAGATCGAGAGTTTCTAACTCTCCACCTGAGCTGTCGCGTCGATGCCGCGTATCTCGTGCTTGGATAGCGCGGGACCTCGTCTCGTTTCGAGGACGAATAAATTCCTGATAACAGTAGTATCATCGAACTCGTCTTATTTGAGTCCTGCACCATGACGAGCTCCTCTCTCGATGGATCCAATGTGCTCCACCGTCGACCGACTCCTACGACTTCGCTGCCCCTGGCAGCTTTGGATTTCTCGTCCTTGAACGGTAAGTCTTCTTTCAAGTCTTCTCAAAGAAACGGAAGTGTCCTGTCATGAGAGCGTGGCGCTCTACGCTTTACGGCCAGTACAGTAGAGACCCAAAACTGGAGGGTGTGGATCGGTGTCTTTCATATTTATTAATAAATCGAGGATCGAGAATATTTTTTTATTTAAATTTGATTAGAGATTATTTTCGGTTATATCGCTTATTTTCTTGTACTTTTTTTAATATGATTCCTTAATGATCTTTACGTTTCTATTATCAAATGATTAAAAATCATTAATGTTCAGAATATCGATCAAATTTATTACAAATTTTAATTTAATCGCATGATAATGTAAACAAATATCTTATTTAGGTAGGCCAAACGTGAATTTCAACTTCTTAAAGAAACTCTTACTTTTCTAAACGTTTGCTCGCGAGCAAAGCAATTAGCGAGACCTCTATAAAGCGTAGCAACGTTCGATGCTCATTGAAATGACCGATCGATATTCAACGGATATTTAGCGGATATGAACGCTTTGGTTAGATACTCATCGGATATTATAGACGTATCGCCGATATCCAGCCGTCCACTCAGTGTATTCTCTAGACAGGTCGGCTATTGAAACTCTCCTTTGTGGATTCTTCCCCGTTCCCCAGGTTCCTTCTACTCGTAATTCGATCGACTCGAGATGAAAGATACTCGACTCCCTTGTTAAGAGGACATCGGATATCTCCGCACGCGCTTTCCGCTGTTGGCGGTCGACGATTCTGCCTGAAGGAATGTTTCCTCTCGAAAAGCAGGTCGCATTACACAGAAGCTTTGGTATTTGATGTATACGATGATCTTAGAATGTCTTCGTGGTCAGGTACTTTCTACTAGAGACATTTTCTTTCGATAGAATCCCTAGAGGAAATTTCGTAGAAACGGAAATTTATCGTAACGAGCTGAAACATCGAGAAAAGACAGGAAGCGTGTTAGAAGAAGGTTTTGGAGAAAAAAAGGGGAAAGGTTGGTAGATTGGGAAGGATCTCGTGGAATATCAATTCACTGTGGTATCGTTTTCGTGCAACCACAGAACGGCTAGCCAGCCCGTTGCTTGAGGGTAAGAGAGCTCGAAGAAAAGTAATGTGTAGGTGAAACACGCACGAGTAGTCGATCCAACACGGAGGGTGGTAAGACTACTATCCCTACTGGGCACATATGTCGCAGGCTACTCGAGTACGTGTACGAACATCCATCGCAAAATTCCAACCGCTATCGAGTCTTCCATCTCTCGGCACCCTCCGTCCCTTGTACCGTCTTTCCTTCGACCCCTTCTAACGACTCGAACGTTTTTCTTCCTTCTCCCTTTTCTCTTTTCACTTTCGCCTCGAGCCTGAAAGCGGGAGAAATAGAAAGAGAAAGAAAAAGATTCATTTATTAAATCTGTGGGGTCGAGGCTTTGTAGGAGCAATCGAGCCAATTAAACGCGAGCGATCGACCGGAATCGTCTAACGGATAGAAAATCGTGTTTCTACGTGAAGGGTTTGTTAAGTTAGCCGACACTGTTTTCGATCGTTGTGCTTTGAAGTATCGAGCAATTTCGATACAATTAAATTCGATACAAAAATGATACAGAGAGAGAGAGAGAGAGAGAAAGAGAGAAAACGAATGAGTTTTCAACTTTAACGCTGCAGATCAAGCGAACAAAACTGGAAAATAAATGACACTATGCCCATCTCCTTCCAGCTTAATAATCCCAATGAAGCCGTCGACGCGTATCACCGGATTCTAACGCTTTATAGACTTTAATGGAAGCTTTTATGTCGACGATCGGACGATATGTATACGTCGTGGAGCTGGCAACGAGAGCGAAGTTTTAACCTGGTTTCCACGTCTAATTCGGTCATTGATCCGTGACTTTTGAGTGACAGGATATGGCGGAGCAAGCGCATAAAGAGGGAAAGGAGCTTGCCAGGGAGAAAGAGAGGGAGAGAAAGAGAATAGCCGTAGAGAGGTGAAAGCTCACGGGGTTTGCAAGCATCACAGAAGGGGAACACGAAAGCTTTCACGGCCGTCCATTAATCGTCATACCACGTACATAGTGAGACGAGGAGCAACAGAAGCAACAATAACAACGACATCGACGACGATGACGACAACAACAATGACAACGATAACAACAACAAGAAGAAGAAACTTGGAACTAAGAGAAAAGAGGGTAGAAAGAAAAACAGCAAAGGATGAAGAAATAGGGGAGAGAAAAAAGCTTGCAGCGAACCAGACAAACAGAAGGAGAGTAGCCAGAAGAGAACGAAGAGAGTAGTAGTAGGAACGTGAGCACGCCAACAACCAAGCCGCATGGAAATTTATGCAAAAGCGTAACCGATATCGCACCGATTAATATTCATCGGGAGGGTGAGGAGACGTCGGAATGCTCGGGCCAGCGAGAGCCACAAGAAGAGCAGCTAGTTGCTGCTGCTGCTGCTGGCCGCTTCGTCGAACGTTGCGAGGATAAGCGAAACGAGAACAGAGTCGTTTTTCTCCTTTTTCTTTTAACCTATGCTTTTTTCCTTCCTTTCACCTGTCTCACCACTCTTCGTCTCTCTCTTTCTTTCTCTCTCTCCCTCTCTCTCTCTTTTCCCTCTCCCCCCTCTCTCTCTCTCTCTCTCTCTCTCTCTCTCTCTCTCTCTCTCTCTCTCTCTCTCTCTCTCTCTCTCTCTCTCTCTCTTCCTCCCTTTACCTCATACACATCCCCATAACGTCGCAAACTCACGTGGCGAGCTCTTTGTTTCTCTCTCCCCCAAAGAGATTGAATATTTTTCCTCCTTTGATCAAGCTTCTCCTCATCCTCCTCTTCCTCTTGCAGCCACGAACGCGCGTCCTCATGCAAATGCGTTTACGCGAGAGAATATTCGCAGAGGCTTTGAGACGGTCTCTTCCTATAGTACTTTAATCGCCTTGAATTCGAACACATCTTCCCGAAAACCGTCCACCCACGTAATCATTACATTACCACTGACGATTCTCCTACACATCGCTGAACTGGACTTTGTAAAGAGACTCCGACTACAAAGTACACGAGATTCGCTCTCAAATTTCGTCCTTCGATCGGTACTCTGCTCGTTTACTCGATCGAGATGGCCGACAAACCATTATTGTCTAATCGAATTTGTTACGGAAGTTAGCTCGGCGAACGTGTACACGATACTTACCACGATCGAATGGTTTCTTAAAAAGGTTTCCTAAATAACAAGATTTTCATCGTGTTCACTCTATTTTTTTCTCTTTTTCTTTTTTTCTTTTAACACAATTTTAAAAAAGATTTTTTCCTTGACGACGTGCTTTTTTTCTTTTCAATAATTTAATATAAAAATAAGAACTTACCGTGCGTATTTCTTATTTTCGATTATTTATCGACACTCTCTTCTTCTTTTTCGAGTGAAATACGTTTTGAAAAGTCTTCAATTCCGTTTAAAGAGATACTAAAGTCGTTGAAAAAAGAGAATACAATTTCATTTCATTCACACGTAATACGATTACGCGAGTCTTTCTAGAATCGTTCCTTTAAAAGCACACCGTCAATGAATTCCATACGTTTTGAAAACTATT